GACCATTGGGACACTGCCCAGAGCCTTTGTCTGCCTGCACTCCTGGCCTGCAAGGATCTGCTCTCAGGAGTCCCTGGGGAGGCTTTGTCAGTGCCTGCCCTCAGTGGGGCCCAGCAATGCTTCAAGGGACTGGGAGTTTGGCTTCTGACTTCTTGAGCAGCTTCTTCAATCTTCTCTCAGTACCTCAGGTTAATGGAATTGTCTCTAAACACACTGTGGGGCTCATTAAAATACAGAAAAACAAATTATATTCTTTTCTTTAATTGTCTTTGTGTCTTCAAGTCTTCAACAACTAATTGGAGTTAATTTGTAGTTTAGCTGAGGAGGACGATTTTAAAGTGGAAGTCACAAAAATATAATTTTCTATGAAAAGGAGTGATTTACACAGAGCCTTGGGATATGTAATAAATCGGTAGTAGTAGTTTAAATTTGCTCATCAAACTAGTAGTAATAGTTTACTACTTAAATTGTATTGCATGTTATATTCCTATATACATATATATGTTATTAAACTATAAATTCATTATTCTGTCAGCATTATAAGTTGATGATCATGCAGCTTGCAATTCTTAAACTGAAAAGACACATTATTATGCCTGGCTGAATCTTACTTTTATAAAAAGCTCCTTGTCCCATAGCATGCATAAAGTAACGAAGGGAAGGACAAGAATCAAAGAGTCAAGAATGAAAATGATCCAGAGCATCCAAGATGGACATCTGGAAATACCTAACACACCAGGCCTCAAGGATTAAAAACTAATTAAAACTATGGACAGGAAAGCACCCAGCAACTAAAACAGGCCTGCAGAGAAACCAACCAGAACCAGACCTGCAAACTCAGATCCAACAGAAAGATAACAAATGACTATGGGAGGGGACCTGATAAGGGAATAAAAGTTAGTTTTTTCCTACTGTGCTTGCGTACCATGAGTGAAGCAGGGATCTCCCCGGCCGCCCAGTGCGCTGTTTTGCTTATTTGCCTTTTCTATAAATCTTCAATAAATTTTTATTACTATATTTCAACTCAGTTTCATTTTACTTAGGATATAAGAGGGTCAGGGTGCAAAGGATTTGAACAGAAAGATAAGGGGACAAAAGAGATTAGTAGCATTTAATAATTGACCAACTTAACAGTTAGCAAGTGATTCAATATAATTTGTGCAATTGAACTGTGACTGAATTATGGATTCCCAGTAACAACACTCACACCACAGTCAATTCACACCCACACCCAGGCAGAGATGTGTGGACACATCAGGATCTGGGTGTGTAAAGGTCCCTCTCCAAAATTCTCCCTGTTCTGAGTGAAACCCTCCCACACATCCCTTTGTGTTTCCCACCAGACAAGGGTCACAGCTGGAGGAGTGCTTGTTGAGGGGGATCAGAATTGTCCACAGCTTAAGCGATGCTCTTTGGAGTGTTGCAAACTGGAGGGTTCCGGTCATGGTTTTGCTGGTTCTTCGAAACTCAGCAGGAATTTTTTTCCCTCCCCTCTGCCCACTGCATGCAGAGCTGTTAAGTGGGCACTTAAGGAGCAGAAAGGAACCTGTTTTCTTGTTAAGGGCTCAGAATCTCATCTCCTGGAAAACAGGGGTTAGGAGCTCTTTTTTGTTGTTTTCCTTTCCCCGATCCCTGGGAAATGGGGGGAGGCATTCGGGCTTTCTGCTGAGGCTGGAACAAGGTCAGAGTAGAGCTCAGTGTGTTTTTTTGTTCTCAGCCTGATTGCCTGCTGTGGACCCTGCTTGGATTTTCATCAGAGAAGAACTATTTTGGGAAGTTTTTTTTTCCCCTTCCCCATTCCCATTCATTTCTTTTCTTAGCAGTGGTCCTTGTGCACATGAAAAGGAGAAGGAAAATCAAACTGCACAATTTGACCAGTCCAACAGAGTAAGGTTTTTCTCCCATTTTGGAGGACTTTTCTTTCTTTTTTTTTTTTTCCTCTCCCCCTCTCTCTCTTCCCTTTCCCAGTGTGTGGGGGACAGAAGGGAAACCCATTAGTTTTTGGTTTCTCCAACACACCCCAGAGGGTGTTACATCCCACATGGCAATGACCAGTGATTCCACAGCGCCCCCTGCTGGCCATCATAAAGAACTGCAGGCTCAGCATCTCCAGTGATCCAAC